TATGTTGTATATTTGTGAATGTTTATATGCTGTAGTTTTTTTTTACTCTGAATTTTAATTTAAGTTTTGACCACAAAATGTGTGTTTGTGTGTGTTTGCCCCTGGGCTGTTGGCCCGGTGAGTTCCCACCTGGTTAAACAAAGGATTCATTGCCTCCTCCTCGAGAGCTCTTGTGTCACAAACTCTTTCTCGTTCCTCTGGGTTGCACTGTATACATTTCCTCCCTTATGAATTCGATGCTTTGGAGGCGAGGGTTGGTGGGTCACGACGAGACTTGTAAAGCTTTAAAATCTTCTAGGCCTCTCGCGACGTTCCCAGACGATGGACGGCATCTGCGTGCAGACTTGTCTGTTCCATCGAATGTCGTCAGATCTCAAAAGCTCAGCAATTGTGAGCCTGGTTGTTACTTGGATGAGGCACTGCCTTCAAATATCAGGTGTTTAATACTTGGGCATTGTGGTGACCAGGAGAGATGGTAGTGTGTTGGTTGTTCCCCCCCCCCCCCCGTGTGTGTTCTTTGGGTACCCTGTTTTTGTCCCACATGCAGGACACTAATTGAAGAAAAATTGGCCAAAACATTACAACACAGGATCCGCCTGAAACAAAAAATCCTCGACCTATCGAGACTTCGCTACGGTCCTGACCACGAGCCGTGGCCAATGTTTACCAGTGAAGACCTTCAATAGACAACATTACACACTGTGACGTGTAGCCCAGTGGTCTCGCGCACATCGCTCGCATTCGCGGTGTGTGTTTGCCGACAGGCGTGCACTTTGCATAGCACAGTGTCTCTCGCGAGCAAGTTCCACGAGGGTCGTTTCTTTTCTGTTTGCTACGAAGCAATGGCACGCGCTCGAGTCGAACTCCCAAAGGATTTCCTCGCACTCAAATTGGTAAAAGTGTCATCGAAGCTTCGGGTCAGCGCCACGAGTGTTGCGGGAATGTGGAATCTGCCCGCGCCCGCCCGCTGCGGGGTTCCCCTATTGGCGGGGTCCGGCAGGTGGTTCTCGTGACGAAGGCGTCACACCCCCCCAGCCTCAGCCAGTGCGGTGCTGGGGGTTGGGGGGCGTGGATTCGACGATTAAAAAAATAATCGGTGCTGAGACACTTGTTTTTATTATTTACACACATGAACGTGTTTGTGAGAATCGGGTCTTTTTGATTCGAAATGTTGTAATTAGTTCAGCCACTAGGGGGTCGCTACAGTGCACTTTGATGTTGAAAAGGAATCGGATGTTGTATTGGATCGTGACCCCCGTATCTTGACAATTAACTGAATGGCAAGTCGGGTAAGTAGTTGCAGGCCCACTTGTGATGTTTTAGACTTTTGATTTGAGTTGTATTCTGGCTATGGTGAGAAAATGTTGGTCATTTAAAGAGTGACCAATGTACGAGGTGACCAGGTGGCCTCAAGAGGTGACTGCTAACATCCTGTGATGAAACCAGCTTCTCAAGCGTAGAGCATTCATAATCTTATCCTGTTCACGTCACTTCGTTTTGCCAACTTACAATTCTGAAATCTCATTATCAATTTGACCTTCGCGCAGCACACAACTCTCAGCCACATAGCAGGTGGGAAAGTGCTGCCTCCCCCTACGGCGTGACCCAGAGGTCACTTGGAGGGACCTCGGTGGTAGCTCTTTGATATCCACCTCCATGGGTCATTCTTCTCCAACACCGTTGCGTCAAAAGGGATCCGAATCGATAGTCCGGTCGTGTCGTGACGCCGATAGCACGACGCACCAAAAACCCCAAACGATCGTTTGCTCGCCATGAGCCCCGCCACAGGGGGCACGCGCGTGTGCAGTCCCAACGTCCCTTGCGGTATTCGACGAATTTTGCGCTTACGATGTGCGATTGGACGGTCACGGGCGCGTGCGTCCTCGCGCATTAGTCTGAGAGCGCGCGCCACGGGGATTACGGTGACAATGAGGTTAATGGGTTGTCACCCCAGCACTATCCTGGTGGGTCTGTTTCATTCAGCCTTGGTAGATTTACATGCCAGGTGAGACCCCCCCCCCCCACCCTCCATCGAGATGGAAACTCTTTCACACAAGTCGGGCACAGGTCAAGAACAGGTCAGCCTAGATCACACGGCGTTCAGGTCTATTTTCCCTGTCAAATTATACATGAATCCTAAATCGAATATAATACCGTGGCGGCATAACCAACGGACACGTTGAGCGGCCGTCAAATTGCGCTTTGCATTACGGAAAGACAAACTCCTCCAGTGGAGAAAGACACGTGCTCAGCCACGTTCTAATACAGCCTATACTGATCCATGCAACCAGAAGCGCGTGTCGTGTTGTTTGTGTGCGTGGGGAGCTGTAGTGTAACAGTTGGTGCGCTGTGCTACGAACCTGGCGACCCGGGTTCGATTCCCGCTCACGGCCAACACCAGTGACGATTATCTAAACCGGTCCTGGGCCTCCCCTAGGTCCACTCAGCCTCAAGTACTTGGTGTAATGTGTAAACATCGCCACTGGGGAGACAAAGGCGACCGGGCGTGGTGTTGGCCACCCACCTCCTTTGTGTGCTGTGCCGGCATTTATTATTGCTCGCTAACAGCACTTTCCTCTTACAGTCTGTTAAGGCTATACGGGGGATCTTTGTCTTTGTGTGTGTGTGTGTGCCTGCGTTCTGTACACGACGTGGTGGAGGGGGTGGGGAGGTTATTTTTGATCCAATTTTTTTATGCTCATTTGTCTTCGTCATCGTTTAGGGGAACGTTGATTGCGTCAACGAGCGATGCGTTGGCCACGTTTTCTTCTGATGCTTCGTGGAGGGAGAGCCGCCACGAATGTCATGCCGGCGCGATTGTTTCTTTTACTGCGGAAATGTTTTCCTGTGTTTATAAAGCCCCGATTAGAATCTCACCACTCCTCATATTATAGCATTTTTTTTTTATTGCAGACGAGATATACATCAGCGTTGGTTAAACTTTGTAAACTGAAACAGAACGCCCTTAAAGGGACGACGCCAACACTGCTGCCAAATCAAGATCCTACACGGGCACTGCTGGATCTGTCCTGGATGCCTCCCAAACCTCTGAGTTTTGTTGTCGACTGCTGCGAGGGAGGAGGGGTGGGCCTCTTAGATTTGCCGCACTGCTGTCACCTGTACCTCTTACGCCACCTGCACAAGCATTGGAGGCCTTACTGCCCACGCTAACTCTGGACTATCGGTGAAAAAGAGCCTTGTAGCTCATCGGATTCCTCCAGTATAAAAAAATGTTGCGATGCTGAACTCGCCCGTGCGAGTCTGTGCCACTCGCAGGGCTTAACAACCATCCATTCGGCCCTGCAAAGCATTCACCGAATTGTCACGATTTGGGACCACGATTCGATTCGGAAACCCAATTCAATTTTCGTCTTTTATTTCTCCCTCGTTTGTGCCGCACGCATTGTACTCGCTGAAATTATAATAACAGTATTTAATAAGCATGAATTTTAAGTAATCGTTTCTTACATACGCAATTCAATGCATGTATCCTGAACCTAAGAACATACCGTAATCAATTAATAGTTGCATCATTCCAGGTACTCTCCCACCCACATCAACGAGCTTTCTGCGCACTTACCATCTTGCCATGCGACTGTGGTCCGTCTGCTCTGGCCACGCAGTTACAACTGCAGTTGCGTCTTTGCCGTCTCTGCCGGCACACCCTGTGTATTTAGTTTACACAGCGTTAGGTAAACCATCTACGTAACAATCGGCTTCATAAAAAAACCCGGTAAAACCTACCAAATGTTTTGTAAGCTGAAAAACGTGAAATATGTCCCTACAATTTTCGTAAGCTTGCTTCCTTTATCACGAGAGAGTCTGGTGCCTCATGAATCTCACCTGCTGTAGGTTGAGGTTAAACCTTTGTATTCATTACACCCCTTTGTCCACCCACTGATGGATCTGGATCTTCCGACACTTGTCAGGCATGTATTAGCCAACCTCGCTAATTGTAGGCGTGGGGGGGGGGGTTATTTAACCATACTTGGTCCGATGTGCGTTGGCGAAGGAGGGAGAGAGGCCTAAGACTGTTTCAGCTCTCACTTGTCGCTGTTAGCTTTGGAATCAAACTCGGGTTGCTGTATGCGCTCGCTACTACATCACTGCACCCACGTTGCACATGCCAGAGCATCTCAAATTAAAAACAACCACAGTACGCAATTGCAGGCAACTCCCCCTTTCCAAATCAACACTGCCGGTGTTTGCGTATTGCTGCACCACTGGTTACTCCACCAACACACTGCAAATTGGTTATCCTTGTTCAAATACTTTCCGTAGACACATTTGCAGCCTCCTTGCAAGTTCCCCGCACTTTAAAAAACAAAAACCTTCACTGCCAACGTGTGGTGCGTGATAACCTCTGTGATCACCTTGGCTCTAAATTGTTTAACAAGCACTTGAAGTTTTGTTGGTGATGAAAGCTCTTAAAGTCACGGTCAAAAGCACAATCCGAGTGATGTCACTTCAGTGACGTTGTTGTTTGAGGAAGTGTGTGGGTGACGCCGTCAGTGATGTGACCAGAGTTGTTTTCAAGTCTTTGTTTTCCATTGTAAGTGCGTTTAAATTCACGCCGCACAGCGTGATGTATCTGAAAGGGGGTGGAGAAAATACTTCAATCCGAAATGATAAGACCGATTCAAGGTGGGAGATGTTCATTCAGTCCTGTCGTCGCTCTCTGGAGCAGGAGCCATGGATCAGGGAAGCCAGAGGGACACTACTTGTGTGCTGCTGCTGCTGAATAAGAGCTTCAGGTTGTGCTTTGTCTTTCCTTAATATTAAGTGCACTCCTTGGTACCTTTTCCTTGATTTCATCAACACATTGCTCTTCTGTTTGACCATCTCCCATCTTTTATGATTTGTCATTTTCCATTTTCCCTGTCTTTCTGACCTTGTTTGCTCTCCCTCTCTCTTTCTCTTCCTCTTTTTGTTCGTCTCTTTCCATCGCCTCCCAAAATGCACTGGGTCTGGGGGTCACGGGGTCGCTCTGGTGTTCCCAGGACCCCGTCTGCCGTGTTCTATCAGACCTTGTCTGCGAACCTCCCGCGCCACGACCACCGGGGACGCTCCGATAGGTACGCTGCGGCCGTGCCCACTGCTCCCACGGGCATGAATCCTCACGGTTGTGTGCGCAGAGCAGGTCATCGATTCCCGCTCACTTTTTTTTGTCTTCTTGGTTCTTTCGGTAAAGTCACGTAGAAGAGAAATAATAAAATAATAAAAATAAAACATAATAAAATCATTCTCACGACGTTTTGGCCACAACACAAGCAGCCGTCCTCAGGTGAAGACCAGGTCTGTCGGGGAGACAGCGTCTGAATGAAACACCACCATGCTTGGAGCGTATATTTAAGCTGGGTTGGAAGGGGGGAAGGGCGCCTTGACAAAATAATTTGCATGTCAAGAGGAATTTAGCATATTTATGGGAAATGCAGGTATGTGATTAGTACTACTTGTGAAATGCGTAGGAGGTGGGCTGTTTTCTGCGTCGCTCCTAGGCTGGAGTAGGGGGGCGGGGGGCACGTGACCAGTCGTCATGCAACCACACTGAGCGGTATACTGGATGTGGTGTGCCAGGTACGGCAAGTGTTTTCTGGGTCACCGACCGGGACAGGCCTCGCTGAAATTACGCCTTGGTACAGAGATTCCGGAGACCTGGGTTTCAACTGGCACCCGTAGTAACGTCAGTGGTACGTAGTTATTCGAGCCCTTCCACTTAAGTAAATTCAGCCTTTAACGAGTACGTGGTGCAATGTTCGTAACGTCAGCACTGGGGACATAGAAGCGCCTGTGTGTGGTGCTGGCCACACGACTCCCCATGTTCTATCAGCAGACATGATCCATCCACTGTTGTATGAACACCTTGACAAATCGTTGCCGTTGCCGCATGCATTCCTGAAGTTTAAGAATCCACCCCTGCTATTTAATAATCCACCCCTGCTATTTAACAATCCACCTCAACCCACCCCTGCAGTTTAACAATCCACGTCTGCTATATCTGCTGTTTAACCATCCACGGCCTGCTATTTAACAATCCACCCCTGCTATTTCTACAAATTAACAATCCACCCCTGCAATTTAACAATCCACCGAGCACCCAAGCCGATTCATTCCTCTATGCCTAGCGGTTGGCTTCCAATTAGCCAATTATTGTTATTATTATTATTACTGATATGCTTGCTTGCCCGGGCGAGCGGCACTGATTCTCAACCCGATTTATCAGAAGGGTTCTGCCAAGTTATTGCAGGAGAAGGTGGTCTTGCTATGAGTAACCCGCAGCTAATTTGTCAGCATTGGGAAGTTAGGCCAATGCCATTCACCTTGTATGTGTGTTTTTTGTAGCTTTTTCTCTTATATTTTTGAAATAAGAATTTGAAAGTCATTGGGAACAAAATTACGAATAACGTAGAGGCATACCCAACCACACGAGCAAGCAGGGTTTAGGAAAGGTTGCTTATGAAGTTGGGATGGCCCTTAATAGGTGCTCGCAAACAGCACTTGTCCCAGGAGGCGGCATTGGAATCTGTGTGTGTGTGTGTGCGCGAGTGAGCAAAGACAACATATCCTGTATAGCCATAGCGGACTTTTAGAGCAAATGCTGTGAGCACGTAGCACCTATGAAGGCCGAGACGGAACACGAAGCAGTGGGTGGCCAGCACCACGTCCGGACGTCTTTGTCTTCCTAGCGGTGACGGTGATATTTACACACCGCGCCAAGTCGACCTAGAGGAGGCTCAGGGCCAATTCAAATATTCGCCGCTGTTATTGGTCATGAGCGGGAACTGATCTTGGGTCGCCGGGTTCGTAGCGCAGCGCGCTAGCCGCGCTACCCTACCGCTCCAACCAGTGAGCATGTGCACACGCACAGACATTCGCGAGTGTTTGCTTTGCTAAGTGGTGCCAAAAAAAATTGAAACGGCCGGGCATGGAGTGGGCGCGCAACGCAAGTGTTTGCCCGCACAACGGCAGTAACGGTGCGTGCAGGTGTGAGCGAGGAATTTCACATTTCTTTCTTCCGGTGGGGGTGTTCCCGGGGGGTTGCGTTCGGTGGTCGCGGTGGCGCCGAAGCCAAGCACCGGCGGGGAGGGGTGGTGATGTTGTGTGCGCTCGTTAAATTTTCCCACGGCGCTTGTTGCAAAAACGGGGTGGGGGGGGGGGGGGTGATGAGCTTTTTCTGCGCGCCTGCGCCATGCCAAAACCAACGTCGGGCGTCCGTTTATTATGCTAACAACCAGCCCTCGTGAAAACACCTCCAGCGTTCCTGTTATCTTACCTGCAACTGGTGTTATACGAGTAAACGTTGGCACCCGCGTATCCTCTCGGGAAAGAGTTCTTCAGCCGGCTGCCCCACGGACCAGATGTGGCCTGTTCAAGGGGCTCTTGGAGAGGCTCTGAATCGGTCCACTGCCGAATGAGAGGGGCTCTCCATGGGTCGTGATAGTTCTTTCACCATACTTCACCACACTGGTCAGTGCGGGTTGGTGAAGGAACAAAGCATCGATGACGTATAGAACAATGGATTTTTTTCCAATTCCGTCCACAAGCCACTCCCCACAGCCATTTGTGCTGCCCCCTAATCAGGTCCAGGCTTACTTTGTTTTCCCATCTGGCTATGACTGACCTGCCGCTTTCTATTAAATAAATATGTCTCCAGTTTTCTGTGCAGCATCTTCAGCCGCGGTTGCATGTAGACTCCATATAAACCCACGTTGCATTGTCGGTGAGACTGTGGTGAAAAAAAAACCGTGTCTGGAGCCTGGACATGAAGAGGGGAAAGGAACATGTTTGTAACATACAATAGTTATTGGCTTGGTGCGGCAACGCGCTTTCGTCATTAGCAAGATGCCCGTGTTCTCGCCATCAGAGACGAACCGTTGTTTGCCCAGTCGCCGCAAACATGTTGCGCAAAATAGACCTCGCTTTCGTGCACCTCGCTTAAACGAATTCAGGGCGCGAATAAAATTCGACAAAGTGCGCATTACGACGACGGCGGCGGCGGCACGCTGACGCACGAGGGCCGTGTGGAGCGAGCAAGATGACTCAACTGGAAAAACGCAGAAAATATCGCCCACTTGCCCGCCCGCGCGCACACGGCCCCCTTTCACCGCGCGTCGCATTCTTCAAGTGAATTGCCCTGTAGAGTGGCGCGGGGCGAGCGCCGTCGTCGTGAATGCGCGCTCCCAAGAGGCGCACGCCGGGGCTGGAATGCCAAACCCCCCCCCCTCCAACCGCTTGAGTCCCCTGTTGCTGCTGAGTGCGAGACGCTTCAGAAATGTACTCACGCGCTGTGTGCGTGCTGCACACGCAGTGACTCGCCCGTCACCCGCTCCGCGGGCAAGTCTGATGGATCGTCACAATTCGCGCTCGCTATTCGATCCGAGAAACACCCGGCAGAGTACGTATGCGTACAGTACGGCATGCAACGAACTGGCCTAACCGTTATAAGTACCCCAGGTATGTAACAATGCCCTGATTCGTCAAGATAGATTTTTGGTCTCGCTAGACGTGCTTTTCATCATGCACTTGGAAATATTTTATTTGCGATCATTGCAAATTATATATGAACGTTACATTTAGGCTAATAGACAAAGATACAAACGAGACAAAAACGGAGACACAAGAATGAAAGATATGGCAAAATAGCGACTAAAGAAAAGGATATATTTTTTTCTTCGACGTTGCCACCCCCTGGACAGTGTTGATATTAACAGCGTGCAATTTGCCATCCCACCCATCCAGAATGCAGGGGTGGACACTGCCACTTAATCTCGCCCCTAGTACTACCCAGGGTGCCTCACTTCAACTCTGCACTTGTCCTCAGCACAGCGAGTGGTTTAGCCACAGGCACCGTCACAAGAGTTTGAATATCTGCTCAGTATCGGGGTCATTTGGTCCATGTGCCCTCAACACCAGGACATTGGCTTTTACAAAAACAAATGTCAAGGTCGGGAAGCAGTCGTACGACTACACAGAGCCATCGTCAGCCTGATGAGGCATGGCCTCCATCTGAAACAATCACGCAGATCCTTCCCCAGTGCTCTGCAGCAGGGCGGCTGGCTGATGTCGTTCAATCTGCGGGATGCATATCTCCACGCGCAGCATTACCGGTACCGGAGGTTCTTTATCTTCAGGGTGGGGGCCACAATGAGTCTCGGACCCTCCCATTCGACCTCCTACCAACGGGTGTTCACCAAGGTGCTGGTTGCATTAGTTGGCTCAATCGGGGAAACACGGGTGTGTACATATCTACCCCTATTTGGATGACCCACTTGTATGTACGTTGAACTTCTTTCGCGCTGTACGTAGCCAACCGTGCTAATTGTAGGGACCTCCATAGCGCAAAAGCTGCAAGGTGACCTCGCCAACCTTGTACGGATGTTGGACAGATACGTTTGGATCATCAACCTAGCGAAGTGCACTTGTGCAGCCAACGCAACAACTATGCCACCTGGGGGCAGATATTTGGACGGACCAGTGTCTTGATTAGTCCTCCAGACAAAAAGCCATCACTCAGAGTTGGGGAGTTCCACATACTGCGTGCTCATTCTCCATTTACATCCGTCAAGCCTGACCAAGGTGGTCCTAAGGCTCTCTGCAGTTTCTCCCCAAGGTGGCGTCCACCTTCAGAAGGGGCTGCACCACTCCCTACCCTGTGCTCAGCGCCTTTGGAGAAATGGGTGGGCCCGGGGACCTGTTGAGACATCACTCGCCACCGATGTCAGCCGCGGTCTGGGAATTAAACGCAGGTCAGGTGGTTTCACAGCGTGGTGCACTATTCACTGCGCCACCACTCCATCCAATTTAATATTTTAATTAAAATGTTGGGATTTCGAATGTTTAAACTAAACTATTTTTATTATTCTGAAGCGACCTGGCCACAAATGATAGCCCAATGAAGCGGCTTATGTACGAATTTATAGCAGCCAAATACTCTTTAACGCATGTTTCTAAATTTTGAGAGAGAGACACGCAAACTCCAAATATAATAGGCGTCAGTGTCGGGATCGAGCCCACGCCCTGCTGTATACCAGGCGAGGTCGTGAACATCTCGCCACCGAAGCCAGCCAAGGCCCCA